TGAAAACACGACAGCGTTTATTGTGGGTAATGGAGCACTGCACTTTTTTAATGGTAGTGGATGGCTTTAAATGCATAGAAAGATTTATGAAATAAGTCGGGCATGAATGTCTAAGAGAAGATTACTGCGAGTAAAAACAATTATATACTTAAACAAAGGCGGGGAAGGGTTTTAACGGCATCTTAAAAGTTATTTAAATCTGGTTAAATGTGTGTGCGGGTTTTTTAAAGGTTAGAGGAAAGATTAGTTTCAGCAAATTACTCAACAAGTTTTTTAAAATAGGAAAATTGCTGACCGAGACATTTCTGGGTGGATAATTGTGCTGCATAATTAGAGGTGTTTTTGAGGACCAACAAAACCCCCTTATATTTAAGATGGACAGCTTTAGAGTTAAAAAAATATGAGCCCTTCTAGAAGGTGGAGCCAGGATAAGCCATGGTGGAGCCAAATCAGAACTTGGTGGATCTTGGAAAGGAGGCTTGTAGATCATTTACCTGGGTAGATCCTGGGTAATGGAACAGAGCCTGATGTTTTTAACATGGGAGGGCATCCCCCAAATATTGGTGGGCTCCAAAGGGTTGGGAAACCAGGAGTTGGTCCCCTGGTAGCTGTTCTGGCTTTGCTTTGTGGAATGACAGTGGTGTTATTGCAAAGGAACAGAGAGAGGAACATTGGTTTGAGTTATATGATCTCAAATAGCGGCAGCAATAACATTCTGGGCAGGCAGGTGCTTAATCAGTCTCCAGAACCTTTGCCATATCTAATACAAGCACACGCCCTGATTCAGCCATTAATTTTCCCGGAATGGTTTCCTTCAGCAAGCCTCTTCCACTAGTAATTAGACTGAATCTCAATTTGCATTTCCTGGAAAAGTGCCACTGCCTCCTCCAGGACTCTTATTCACCTAGCTGTGAGTTCTGTTTAGCCACAAACCCTTCAGGACCACACTGCAGTAGTGAACTTGCACTGATATGCCTGGGAATGACTCAGACTTCTTCAGTTATTGATCGATTGATCAGTTGTGTTTATAGACTGGGGTTCTGCCAAGGCACCCAAGGCGGTTTACATTTTTAAAATCCTAAGACAAATTAATGATATAAAATCTAAAATTGGTTGGGGAAGAGGACAAGAAGACAGTATGACTGGAGCAGGCTCTGATGTGGTCTTGGCTTCCCTCCCCAACCTTGCTCTCTCCCCCCCCCCACAGGGCAGATGTATAATAATAATAATAATAATAATAATAATAATAATAATAATAAAGTTGATAGCTCAGTACTTGAGTCTACTAGCATTTAGTGACACTTCCATCCAGCCCTTTCCTTAAGGGAATCACAGTTTGATTTAAGCATACTGCCCATTAGGAAGTCCCCAACCAGATGGGCAGGTATAAATAAATTATTATTATTATTATTATTATTAACCAACCAGCAGGTCTGCTTCAAAAAATGGGCTAAACAAATACCTCCTTCATCCCTAATTATAATGGCAAATACATGTCAATGTACTCAATATAAAACTCATTGGGGGCAAAAATGAATAAATAAAAGAAAATTAAAATCCCAACTTTACATATGCCTGGATGGGGGCTCAGCCAGGGCCTTTTCTGCAAAAGCCCCTGAAATGCGGAACTCCCTCCCATATCACGCCCGCCAGGCACCTTCATTATTACCTTTTAGGCAACTTGCAAAGTCCTTCCTGTCTCTTCTTAATGATATTTATTGGTTCTATGTGTAACATGAGCAGGAACTAAAGTGGTTTAGAAATGGTTGCATGGTCAGTTCTGAGTGAGGCTAGTCAGGAGCGGAAGCCCATATTCTGCACATGTCCCAGAAAAACTGGGAAATCCTGTTTGTATTGCGAGAGCACAGCGGCCATTTTGATTGCCACGATCTTGCACAATGATTTTGCAACACAATTCCTCCCCCAAAAAGTGCTTTAGGGGGGCTGTGATCTCATGTAGCCATACCCAGAAAAGCTTTGGAGGGGGGGACCGCAGCATGAAATTGTGCGAGATCATGGCAACCAAAATGGCTGCTGTGCTCTGGCAATAAAAATGGGAGGATGGTGTCTGAGAAAATGGCGGCCTAGATTTTGGCTCTAAGGTGTTGGAGGGTATGGATGCTATGAAGGCATGACCAGTTTCGGTATTGTATATAGTTTGGTAGTAGCACGGTTGCTCCGAACCTGATTGTGGATCATTTGTAATCTTGTAAATACTGCACTATGTCTCTCTCTTCCTTCCCTCCCTCATTGGATTATTGTTTCTTGACTGCTCTAGCTTTGTGTTTTATATATTATCTTTTGTTATCATCCCCCACACTTCCACATTTTTATATTTATTGTTGATAGTGGCTATGAGGCTTCAACAAGGCAGGATCTACATTTCCACACAAATAAAATGAAAGAGAGAGATTCGCAAAGATGCTCCTGCATTCCTGTATCAATAGCAACAGGAGGCTTCCCAGTCTATGTGGAAAAATACACCTCATGCTCTGGCCAAGCTGACGTTAATGGTCACCATTCAAAGGACATGCCTGCGTTCTCCCCTAAGCAGATGCCGGTCAGACAATGTCACTCTGGAGGACAACACAAGAATCAACATATTGAAGAGGCCTTTAAATTGTATGGTTGAAAAGCACCAGCCCCCCCCCCCCCCCAAATTTCTCCTTTAGAAGAGCAATTTTATTTCTGTAATCAGTCCTTTGTGCAAATGTTAGAGAGTTAAGAAGAAGTGCAAACAAATGCTTATTTCCAATGGGCCTTTGACATTGGCAAGTGACACCTTGGATGTCTAAAGCTGCTAAAACGTTGAGGCGCACACCCAGAAAGCCATATGCTCAAAGTTCATTCCCGAGGCTGGTTCCATTTAAGGACTTGTGAATACTAGGCGGGTTGGGGGCATCAGAAGTTGCCTGAGAGTTGGTTGGTGCGAGAGCATTTCTGGAACCAGAGGGACCAAGAGGGCTTCCTTAGATTTTGCCTGACATTTAAGCTGGCACACCAGAGTTATTGGGTTTTCTTTTAAAGTACTCTCAGTCAATCTGAGATCTCATGATGAGGCCTAACAAAGACATATGTTGAGCTTAAGCTGTTAATTTCTTTATAAAGCAAAACCAGCACTTATGGGGACGAAACAACTTACTTTTTATAAAGCTTTGCCAAGAGTTAGCATTCAGTCAACTATGCATTGTATATATAATCATGGCTTCAGTACATCAATACTATACTGCCAGTGTTCCAGAAAAACTGGGAGATGCTGATTTGTTTTTTGTTTTACTGTGAAAGCACATTAAAAATGCACTGCGAGATTGTGTGAGATCATGGCAACCAAAATGGCCGCCATGCTCTCATGATAAAAAAAATGGGAAGATGGTGTCCAGGAATACGGCATTCATTATTTTGGCTTCAAAGTGTTGGAGGGTATGCTATATCTTGCTCTAATCTGCTGCCACAGATTACACACAGTCCTTGTTTAGACTTTGCCAACAAAATAAATAGGGTTAACGAAGTGTTGTCGTTAATTACATTTGTATCTCACCTTTCCTCCAAGGAGCTCAAGATGGCTTACATAGTTTTGATCCCCACTTTATCCTCACAGCAACCCTGTGAGGTAGGTTAGGCTCAGAGTAAGTGACTGCCCCAAGGTCACCCAGTGAGCTGCATGGCTGAGTGAGGATTTGAACCCTGGTCTCCCAGGTCATAGTCTGACATGCTAACTATTATGTACTGAAGTTCTCACCCTGGGCCAGCAGGGGGATACTGTAGATAGTTCAGGTCCACATATGCAAATAAGGGATCGAAAGTGACGTTCAGTGATTGGATAGTTACAGAAAATGGTTACTGTTGCGTTCTAGTGGAGCTCTATATAAGCAGGCTGGCTGAACCCTTCAGTTCAGTTCTGTTCTGGCCTGTGAATAAACAAGAGCTGTTTGAAGAATCGCTGTGTCATCTGATATGTTCACCCACAACCTAACACTAACCACTATGCCACGCTGACTGGCTCCGGTGCTGAGACCTCATACACGGCTTCAGTGCTCCTGCTTCAGACCTCATAAACTTCCCCTCCCTTTCTTTCTCAGGACCAGAAATGCAATGGGAAGAAAGTGACTTGGCCTACTCCTCTGCCTTTAACAGGACCTTGATGGACAGGAATCAACATGTGAAATCCTTTCACAGCACAGCACGGCCGCCCACTAATGTCTGTTTAAACCAAGCTGCTTGTTAAAACCCCATCAGCCCTCTGGTTCAAAAACTGACAAGCTTGGTAGCTCAGTGATGGCACACGAGCAAGTGATGAGTCAGGCTTTGGCTTTACTTATCTGTCCAACAGGAAGGCCCACAAGCCCAGCGGCAGCTTCCCTTCTGACTGCTTGAGAATGGCTGGGATGCAGCTCAGTGGCAGAGCCAACGGTCCCAGGTTCAGTTCCCAATGGCAACCCCAGGCAAGAATGTTCCCTGCCTGATACCCTGGAGAGCCACTGCCAATCAGTGTAGAGGATACTGAGCTAGATGGACCAATGGTCTGTTTGATGTGAAGTTAAGGCAGCTTCCTGTGCTTCTTTCCTAGAGCCAACCCCATGTTTGCAGGGCATTTGGCAAAGTGGCCTTCTGCTGGGTCCTCTCCTCTGTCAGTGGGCCCTGGAGTCCCATCCAGCTGCAATGTCCGAAGTAATGGGCAGTTGTGACCAGCCACCTTTCCCCCAATGCTCCGAGAGATGCTAGGTTTGGCTGGGGAATCATTGTTTGAAACTAAAATGATGGCTACAGCCCGTTGCCCGGTGCTGCTTAGAACACCAGGCCAGGAAAATATATGAAGAAGGGGAGATGGGCAAGTTTCAGCAGGGTTGGTTGCCAGATGCCCAGAAATGTCATGTGCTGCTTGCATCCACCCTGGCTGTCCCTTCCATAACTTCCACTGAAACAGGTTGTGCTCATGGCGCCGCAGAATACAAACACTAAGCTCCTGTGTTCTCTTTCTCCTTCAACAGATATATGGGAAAGGGCTCAGTGGCAAAGCATTTGCTTTACATGCAGAAGGTCTTGTGTTCAAACCTTGGCATCTCCAAGTAGGACTAGGAGAGAACCCATTCAGAAATGCTGGAAAACGGAGTGTAGACAATGCTGAGCTAGATGGAACAATGGTCTGGCTCAGGGAAAGGCCACGTCCTGAGTCCATTACATTGCCGTAAGTATTTTTTGGTAAAAGCCACAGCTTAGTGGTAGAACATCCAGGTTCAATCCCCAGTATCTCCAGGTAAGACTGGGAATGTCTCTCACCCCAAACCCCAGGGGGTTGCTGCCAGTCAGTGTAGATAATGCTGAACTAGATCACATAATCATGGCGTTGGAAGGGACCTCGAGGATCATCTAGTCCAACCCCCTTGCAATGCAGAAATGGACCAGTGGTCTGACTCAGTAGAAAGCAGCTTCCTATGTTAGCTCCCATTAATACCATCCTTGAGAAATGTTCACTTGCATTTTATTTTGGGCACATCTGCATTGTAGTTTGCAAAGCATCTAAAGGACACCCAAAATCAATGTTTTATCATATAATTCAGGCAATAACAGCCCATGGATTGTAGGTGAGGTAACCACCACGCCAGAAGCAGAATCACAAAGTCGGCCACCTCCGCTGGCTGTCAAGAGCATTGATGGTGAGGGCTCGGTTGCTTATTCCTCCCTCACCACCAGCAAAAATTCCCATCGGGCATCCAACATCTGCTGCCATCCTGCTATAAACAGCAGGGGAAATTTGGAGAGCTGTCACATGGCTGCAATTATCACAGCTGCCATGTTTTACTCAGTGGCATCACATCTGTCTTGCTTTGCATCAAGCCTGCCAGGAAGATTGAATTGGAGACAGGGGATCTCCATCAGCATGAAGAAGGGGGCCAAATTTAAAACACAGCAAATTCCAGTTGCCCTCTAGAGATGGGCAAATCTGTCAATTTTGGTTTCTCTCATTTTCCCAATCTTAAATTCAATTCTGAAGCAATTTGAGAACTTTTTTTTTTTACTCCTCATGAAAATATGTCAGAATTTCAGTGTGAATTTCTGCTACTAAACACCACACATAGCTTTGATTAACACGCACCCTTTTGCAAGCATGTTATTTTAACTAATATAAGCATTTGTGTATACACAGTTTGGTTGGAGAAATGCAACTCAAAATTCAAAGAAGTGCAGATTTAGTAGGATAGCTGCCTTTCTGTTTCTGTATTGGTTCAAGAAGTGCAAATCAGGTAGTTCCTCCTTAATTATTATTATTATTAATATTCCACCTCATCCATATTTATCTTAAAGCAGTTTTGTTTGTTTTATGAGTTCTCAACTGTTATTCATTGCATTTGCTTTTTGGTATTCTGGGTTTATCCAATAATTGAGTCACAGTCAGACTAGACCCATTGAAATTAATGGACTTAAGTTAGCTAAGTCTCTTCATTCTAATGGGTCTGCTCTCTAATTTCTGTACATCATATTTTTCTCTCTCTATAAGTGCAAAATTTCCCCAAAAATGTAGTTTCTAAGCTATTTTTTTTAAGGAAATTCACCAAAAATCACACTTCTGATATGGGTTGTCATATGCCTCGGTTTCCCCAGACATTTTAACCACTTTCCAAAAATTCCACCTGGATGCCATTTTGGACAGACATATGGCTGTCCTATTTATTGCTATTTTATTGCTTTGTTGGGGTTAGGGGTAGGGGGTACTTATATGCTAACCAAAACACAGACATCCCGTGAAATTCACATTTCTCTGAATTTTGCACTTCAGCTCTCTGCCTAAGTAGTGCAAAAATTTAATGCAAAAATGCATTAAACAAGGGCAAATGGCTTGGAAAAATGATGTGTATTAAGTAACCTTACATACAAATATGTGTATATTAGGAGAAATTCACATGAAAATGCTGGTGAATTTTCTTGAGGACCTCTATCTAAAAATGGCAAACTGATCTGTAATTCTGGAGAGCTGAACTGAAGAGTGGGAAAATGAGAAACTGAGAGAAACCGAACATGACAGTTACACGCACACTCTGTTGTAAACAGAAAATTCACCGCTTGGCAAAATACAAGAAAAATACTCATGGTCTGTTCCCACTGTGTCTCATTTTTTATGACAATGGACTCTCAAAAGATATTTTCATTTGGGCTTTTGCCACAGTGGTTGCATTATTACAACACACACACACACACACACACACACACACACACACAATCACTGCTTGGTGTTCTGCCTCCTTCAAAAAGATCTATAAGATGCCATCTGGAGAAGACCGCAGGTTTGCTGCAGATGGAAAGTGCTGCATGAAACACACCTGGGCCTTGTGGGCCTAATTCAATTTTGTAATGGCAAGGGAGCACAGTCAGCCTGGTAAAAACCAAGGATTAATCAGGCAGGGGAGGATGAAGGAAGCAGAATTTAGAAAAAGGCTCCCCATCCCTCTGTATGATGCAGAGCCCAACAAGCCTGATTATTCAGCTCAAAAGAAATGGTCACTGAGTTCTGGAGTGTTGCTGAGTAAAGAAACTGGCACAGAAAAAAACATCTGGGGGAAAGAAAAAAACTGGCACAGGGGAAAAAACTGGGGGGGGGGGGGAATCTAGCCCTCTATCACCATTATATCCTAATCTTCAATTCACATACAGAGAAGTGTTGTCAAAATGTGACAAGGAAATCCTACCCACCGACCCAGACATTTGGTTATTTTCCTCTTTGCAGTTTGTGACATGGCTGCAACTTTTAAAATGTTGATGTCTTTTTTATCTCACTCTATGCTACTTTGATTTAGTTCAAGTTATTATTTTATTACCCTATTATACACATCAGGATAATATGTTCTGAGTGTTTCCTACTTGGTTTCCTTAATGCTGGCCATTGACCATAACAATAAAGATTTGATTTGATTTGAAGAGTCTAAATGTGATTGCATACTGATATCAAGGTTTCTTTTCATGCTGGTAGCCTATAACACAGAAGGGGCAGGGCACGAGGAGGTGGGGGGGAAAGGCAGAAACTGAAAACAGCAATACTGTACACAGTACACCTACTAATTCAGAAATGTATCTGAGGTATTTTCCAAGTTAAACCAGAAACTAGAATGGAACTGCAGCAGAACAGAAGAGAGGAAATCCTCTTGACCTTAAGATCCTGACATCCAGTCCCGCTCAGCTAACGTGACACAGCCCCACACATCCTCTAGTCTGGTCACTGCCGCAAAAGCGATTTCAGCAGGAAATCTGCCACCTCACACCGAGTCCCCTTGCCTCCAGAGTTGCTTCCGGTGCCAGTAAGGCTGCTGCAACATGATTCAGAGTCTCCCCCGCTGCTAAGCGGTAAGTAATTAGTATGGCAGAATTTGCAGCCCAACTGGGCTCTGCTAAGCTTTTATGAATTAAACCACAAATCCAGGCTTTGTTAGCTACAGTGATTAGTTAAATACTTGGAACTGATTTTCAATGATCCCGAAATGACCCCACCCCCCACAACATCTCCACTCCAAGCCAGGCCCTGAAAGGGCTGAGCTGGAGTTCTGGGAAGGAGCGTTGATCAGACAATGAGGCCTGCAAAAGCTATGGCAGCACAGTTTCCCTCAACGTTCACTTTAAAAAATTGTAGGAAATGTGAAGAAATGTTGTGTGTGAATGGTTCATGAGACACGTTGCCCCCTGCGGAAAACTGCCCCCTCCCTAACTCACTGCTTTCCAAATAGGAACTGCTTACCAAATTGCAGAAAAAATCACATTGTCTGTTTATCATGGGGGAAATAACTTTCATGGAGAGTAAGGCTACCGGTGGCGAGTGGAGAGAAGCCTGTGCTTTACTTACCTGCCTGTAACACAGTAGCAGCACTTGTAGGGTAAGCAGCCTCATGGAACTCACACAGATGGTGGCAGTGTCCCGGAGAATCACACTTTTGCATCTTCTGCCACTTCCAGGGGCTGTTTTGGCTTTCTTTTTAAGGGCTAAAAATTAAGAAGGGAGGGGGAGAAAAACCCAGACTTCTATCTGCTTGCATGCAGAAGGCCCTGCATTCTATCTTTGGCATCCCCAGAAAGGGCTGCGGGAAACCTCTGAAAGAGTCATTGCCAGTCAGTGAACAATACTGAGCTAAATGGACCAAAGACAAGATAAATGGACTCAATAGACAAGATAGTGAGCAAGATCAAACAGTGAATCAAGACTGTAAGCCGACCAAAGGGAACAATGCCCAGGAAGATCTTCAAGCAATGTGGAAGAGAAAGCCCTTTATATTCCTTCCTGCACAATGGCCAGCCTGTGTGGGTGGGGGCAGCTCCTGGGCCTGGGGACACTGAGCTGCCTTGGCAGGTGCTGCAACATGCTGTCTGATGGTTACGCACATGTGGGTTTGCTGAAGGCTCCCACTCTGAGCCCCGGCAGCTCCTGACATTCACATCCTCTAGACGTTTGCTGCCAATGCATATTTAATAACTAATAATAGGATTTCTCTGTTGATATACTCCTTGCAGTTTCCCTTCCACCTTGATAGGCTTTCAGGTTAAGTGTATGTGCTTCACTGGGTTCATTTCAGCTACACGGGAAGAAAAGAGCCGTTCCTTCGGAAAAGAGAAAGGCAGGAAGGATTAGCTTTAGAACATTTCTGACTGCTTCCTTCCTGCTAGTGCTGGCATGCACTGGAGAGTTTGCTGAGTGTTTGCAGAAGACGCCGTGGTACGGCGGGTCTTCCGATCTGGCTCCATTCCTTATAAATTGGAACAGTGCAATGAGATGGCAACAGGAAATGCTGTAGCAGCAGGCAGCTATTGCAACTCAGGCAGAGAAAATGGGCCTGGCCCTCCCTGCTCTAAGATCCATTTGGCAGCTTATATAGCTAGTTGACCAATGTAAGCCTTCAGGGAATCTTTTTGGTGTTAATAGCTTATGCTAGGACCTGACCCACTAGGTCTTGCTTGGCAGCCAGGTTTAACAGGGACCTCTGAACTGACTGAGATATCTTAGAAGAGGCTTCCACAGCCTTGGCCCTCCAGATGTTTTTGGCCTACAACTCCCATGATCCCTAGCAGGACCAATGGTCAGGGATGATG